AGCGTGTAGGACCACGTAACTACTCCAGCTTTACCACATCCGAACGATAGTGAGATCAAACAGTGTTAATAGTGTTCAGTTTATCTAACTCTAGTGTCCGTTATTTTATATTTGAATCGTAGCTTCAGTAAATATTTCAAATAGATTTTTGTTGCAATTATAATATGTAATCCGATAGGCCCCTAACTTGGTAAGTCAATCGTATAAGTTCACGCCCTTAATAATAGTACTGCTGCGCGTGTGAGGGACAATCTCAGTAAAAATGAAATACTTGTTACTCTATGGAAAATTATATCGTTGATAAACCATTCTATTGTAAGACAGTATCGTTAAAATAAAATCACCATATACTCGCTCGCTATCTTTTAAAATGTGATTCAGAATTTTAGTAAAATAATTTTATTAACGATTCCTAATTGTACAGTGGCATCCAGAAGGTTTTTCTCCCATTTCTTCTTCACGAAATTTACTGACGAAGAGGATACTGGCCCTGTTTTCGTGCAGACACCTTCAGGAATAAGGTGTTCACAAAGCTATATTGTGATTTCCATGAGAGCGTTTTAATGTGACCGTTAATCCCACTATTCATTGGTAAAAAAGTAGCCCAAGAGTTGGCGGTGGATGGTGATGACTAGCTGCCTTTCCCTTTAGTCTTTCACTGCTAAATTAGGGACGGCTAACGCAGAGAACCAAACCATATACATATACTTTTATAGAGCCTGATTTTTTAGTATTTTTACGCTAAGAAAATTGAAAAATGCTGTTTATGTTTCAGAAGACAAAATGTATATGTTTCTTCCCTTAATTATATTTATAAGTTTTCACCGAAACAAAAAAGCTTGATTTGTATGTTCTGCTGTAAAAATGTGTTTTTAGTTTGTTTATTATTAAACACAAAGCTACACACCGAATCATCTGTGCTGCACCCACTACGCCTATCGAAACCCGGTTTTTAGCGGTGTAAGCACGCAGACTTACCGCCGAGTTACTGAAGGGGTGTTTGTTTTTAGTACAGTTGTAAATGCTATTTGATGTTATATCAGCAAGCGAAACAAATATAAATGAAAACCATCTGTTAGGTTTATTGTGTAACCTGGCTTTATGTTTACAGTTATTTTCTTGTATAAAGCATGTATAGATAATGTATGTGTGATGTCGTTTATTTGATAACAAAATTATTTTCAAAATTAATATTAATGACATTGTTGCCATAGGTTACAAGTATATACAACCAATATAAATAACGCTGACCTTCTTTGAATTGTAGCCAACTAAATTTGGGTTGCGATAATTTAATTTCTTCCAAAACACCTGCGAATTATGTGACGATCATCCGTTTTGGAGCTCGCTGTCCTTGGAGTTGGCTTATTACAATAAAGCAACTTCCCGTGCATTACAAGCCAGTTAACCATTGCAACTCTTTAACAAGGTTGGATTGACAAAAAAAAGAAAAAAACTAGAGGGTCAGAGATGTCATCTAAGATCTCTCAAATTCGATAAAACATGTATACTTTTTAACTGTATAAATACTTAGGTTAGTCTACTTAGATAGTCTATTCCTGTCTATTGTAACTGTTATTTATACTGTT